GTGTCTCTCTTTCACTTTCTCATTTCTCTCTCCATCTCTGTCTCTCTTTCTCTGTCTCTTTCTCCTCTCTTTCCCTCCCTTTTTCTCTCTCTTACTCAGAATGTTCGAAGTTGTGGGCAGGTCAGTTGCAAAGACTTTAGCGCATTGCGAACATTTCCCTGGGAATTGACAGTACATCCCGGTAACAGAAACCCTTGTCCCACATTTAATATGTAAATGGTTTCTGCTTCTGCTGCTGCTGCCGAACCAAACTCGGATCCCAGCTCCCCGTACGGTCATTGTGCACCTTATCCTGCGGTTGAGCCACATTCAGTACGATTCCTGTACAGCAGAGCGCTATTTACAGCATCCTCTCCGATCCATTGTTCCCCAAACCCCTTGGGCTGTGTCCCAGTAAAAACAGACACCCACAACTACATGGCATTCGCAGAGCTATGCTAACTAACCATCGCTGAACACTGCTTCATTTTATTATAGTATTTAACTGGTGATAGCCTGGCTCAGTCGGTAGTCCTCTCGTCTCTGAGTCAGAGGGTTGTGGGTTGAAGCCCCACATTGAGCTCACGGTCTAAGCTGTCGCTCCAGCACAGTGCCGGAGGGAGTATGTTGCATTGTCGGAGGAGCCATCCTTTGGGTGAGATGTTAAACCGAGGTCCGGTCTGTGCCTGTTCAGATGCAGGTTAAAGATCCCATGACACTATTTGAAAAGAGAAGGGAGTTTCTCTCTGATGGTGTCCTGGCCAACAATGGGCCGGATAAGTTTGGTGACTCTTTAAATGGCTGTTTGTGGGAAATTGCTGTGCCCAACTGGCTGCTGTGTCTCACCCACAAAATACACAGTCACTTCACTTTACAGTGTATCCTGTGACGCGCTTTGAGACGTCTCAATGACTTGAAAGGTGTTATATCAAATGCAAGAATTATTATTTAAGGAAGAGCTTGTGGAAGTTTTAAAACTTCGTGAGACGTTGCTGTACGCAAATCGGCTGCTGTGATGGCCTACAAAATACACTTTTCAGTCAATCCTGTGAAACATTTCGAGACTTAAAAGGCGTTAGGTCAAACTTCACAAAGAATTCAATTCCATCTAAACGTAGCTTGTTACTTAACATTTCAGATTGCTACAGAACTGCGGAAAATTCTTCGGTTCACTCTTGAATCTGGAAGTCGGATTTCAGATTCGGACAGGATTTAAAAATCTTGCACAATCAGTTCTGTGGGGATTTGGAATTGTAAGTTTGGGATGGCCTCAGATTTAAGAGGAGGTGGAATTTCGGGCCCTGATTGCCTTAAAAAGTCTTTCCACATTTCTGGATTCCCAACGGATGTTTTGGTGCAAAAAATGGCAAATTGACAGGCTACAACTTGTAACTTGAATCCACGGATTCATTTGCACACTGGGCTTGCTTATTGGTCCTGTCTCCATAAGTCACTGCAGCAATTTGCTGTGTGGAGTCCTGCAGTGAAGTGGATAGAGCGCTCGCCTCTCAAGCGAGAGGACCCGGGTTTGATTCCCGGTCAGGGCGAAACCTTAGGGAAGTTTCCTTGCTCCACTGTTTACGCCTCTGTTTACCTAGCAGTAAGTAAGAACCCGGTTGTTAGTCAATTGGGAGATTGCTTTCCAGGGAGTACAAATCCCTTAAAATCAATTAATAATAATTTGGTCACTCAATCCATGACTGTTTGTGGGACACTGTTGGTTGTAATTGGCTGCCACGTTTCGCCCACAAAGTACAGTCAATCCACTTTATAGTATATTCTGTGAAGCGCTTTGAGACATCTCAACGACGGGATAAGGCGCTGTATTAAATGCAAGGATTATTATGTTTCCATCCCACTTCATCTTGTGTTAATCACAGAAAATACTGCTCCTCAATACAAACCAATTTACATTTACACAGTGCCTTTCACTCTGTGCATTTACACAGTGCCTTTCACTCTGTGCAATTACACAGTATCTTTCACTCTGTGCATTTACACAGTACGTTTCATTCCATGTGTGTTCACAGCACCTTTCACGCGGGAGTGGGTGGATGGGGAAGGGAGGTTGTGTGGGTGTGTGCAGAGTGCGGAGGGAGGAGTGGGTGGGTGGGTGTGGGGAGGGAGGGGTGGGTGCGGGGAGGGGGAGAGAGCATGACGTGATGCACGTTGGAGTTTGCTGAGCGGAGAGAGCTTGCGAGTAGCACAGCTTATTCCTTGGGCACCGATTCAAGCTGCTGACTGCGCGTAGTTTAATTTTAATGCTGCCATTACAGCGATAATGTTAGCGGTGTAAAAAGGTTTTACAGTGTTGGACCAAGGGCAGCCTCTGCTAACACAGCAAGGGGTGACTGACTGCCTATCCGTTAATGAAGACTCCGGCTGCCAGTTGGCACTATAAAAACATTCAGTGTGTTGATGTGGAATTCTTTACACACAATTGCAGCAAACATAAATAAACACAGCCCGTTTTACACAGACGATGTTCCCCCCACCACCCACGCCGTCCTCAATCCCCACCCCCCCATACACCCCCCCACCACCACCCACCCCCTTGAATTGTAATATATTGACTACACACAACAGCGTTTCCAGGAAAAGTGTTCAAACAAAGGCAATGTTAGTTTCCTAGCACACACACACACATTCATAGAGTCACACACATATATACGTACACACACACACAGAGTCTCTCACACACACACAAACACAATCTATCTCACATACATAGTCTCTCTCGCACACAAAGTGTCACACACAGACACACACTCGCGCACAAGGGAGGGGGTGGAGCGGATGAGAGTTAGCAAAATCTCCAGTTTGCCTCCATGAGGTAATTGGAACGAGCAGGAAACTGTGCAGGAATTGATTGTTGCATTGGACCATTTTTTACTGGGAACAGAGAAAATTATTGAACGCACAGAGCGCTTCTCCTTATAATGCTGCCTTTGAGAAGCCAGGCTGCCGGGCAGCGTCCTGGGCTCGGCTCAGTGTGTAGTTTCTCTGTTCGTGAGGGAGGGTAAACAAAGTGTTTTGTATCAGGGCAGGACATGGTGCATCATAGATTGTCTCAATTGGGGAAGGAAGACTATAATGCGCTGGGTGCATTTGGCATAGATGCGTGCTTCAGGCGATTTATAAATGAAATGACACCACAGTGCGGGAGATTTCTGAAGTTAAAACAAAAAGAGTACTAAGGCAAGCTGTACCACAACCCAATGATCCATTGTCTCTGTGCCCTTTTCCAATCTTACGCTCCTTGTCTTATCCGTTACAGCATCTAAGAAGCCGCGCAAAGATCATATAAACTACTTAAGCAAGGACAGCATGTATGTAGTATGGATAGCTTTTCTCGTAGTGTTCGGGGAGTTAAAAGTGCTTTTATTTTTTTTAAAAAAAGTAAGGTTGAAAACCACGTTTATTTATTGCTGGATCTGAGATGCTGCATTGTCGGAGACGCTATCTTTCGGATGTGATGCCAAACCGAGGCCCTGTCTGTGCCCATTCAGGCAGATGTTAAAGATCCCTTGGCACTATTCGACATGAGAGGAGGAGACTGTTTGTGTGACATTGCCGTGCGCCAATTGACTGCTGCGTTCACCTACAAGTACAAATGGCCAGGACGCCAGGAGAAACTCCGTTCTCTTTTCGAATAGTGCATGAGATCTTGACATCCGTTTGAATGGGCACAGACAGGGACTCCGTTTAACGGCATATCCGGATGGCACCTCCGACAATGCGACACCCACACACCCCCTCGAGCATTGCACCGGAATGTCAGACTTGTGCGATTGCAAGTCCCGACGTGGGGCTTGAACCCACAACCTTCGGACTCAGAGGGGAGTATGCTACCACTGCGCCAGGCTGAGCCATTAATAATAAAATCAGATGTACTTACTCTAGCACTTACCTCTCATATCTTGACTGTGGCCAACATTGCATTGCACATTTATCTGCCCCAGGTTTGATTCCACAAGAATGTGGGAGAGCGGCTGGACTGTGAAGTTTCGCTATTACATTCCTGGAAAAATGTTGTTCTTCTCGTGCTTCCTGAAAATAGAACAATATAATGTTTTGCAGTCTTGTATATCCCAAAGTTGGGGGGGGGGGCGGGGGGGGGAGCGGGGGTGAATGCAGAATAGGTACTAATTAATTTTTATGGTCTGCCAAATTACCCGTCTAATATTCCCCTGAACTCCAATGAGCAAGTACAGCAAGATTCTTAATTAATGTAGCAGTTGCTACACTTGACTGAACTTTGTAATTGGTTTGGCATTTGCTGCGTCCGATGAGATAATTCCACATTCCCCAGCCACCCCCCCCCCCCCCCCCTCCCCCCCGCCCACCCCATTGCCTTTGAGAGAAATACACCTCCCTTTTACTTTCCCGAATCGTTAAACCGAGGTCCCGTCCGCTGGTTCAAGTGGAAGTTAACAACAACAACCACAATAACTTGAATTTATATAGCGCCCCTCATGCAGGGTATCATCTCAGAGGGCTTGACAGTGGCGGAGCCTGACATTGAGTCGCTGGTGGTGGGGGTGGTGACTGTAAGATTTTGGGGGAGAGAGTTCCAAATTTCAACTACCCTCTGTGTGAAAAAGTGTTTCCCGATTTCCTCCTAAATGGCCTAGCTCTAATTTTAAGATTATGCCCTCCTTGTTCTGGATTCCCCCACCAGAGGAAATAGTTTCTCTCCAGTTACCCTTCCCTTCATTATTTTAAACACCTCAATCAGATCAGCCCGCAACCCTCTAAACTCAAGGGAATACAAGCCAAGTTTATGCAACCTGTCCTCATAAAATAACCCTTTAAGCCCTGGTATCATTCTGGTGAATCTACTTTACGGTGAACCCTGTAAAGTGCTTTGAGACGGCTTCCTGACGCGAAAGGCGCTGCATCAAATGCGACAATTATCGTGATTATTATGATTATCATCGTCAATAATGTTTTTCTGATTCAATCTGATTTTACCTGGTCGCTTTGCCCTGACACTGTCTCTCTGCTCTGACGCCTTCCAGCATCCCTACCCCTCAGAAGAACAGAAGAAGCAGCTGGCTCAAGACACGGGGCTCACCATTCTCCAAGTGAACAACTGGTACGTAGTTTGACTTTGTGTTTGCGTGACAAGACAGACGCTTCAACCGCTGGCAAAATGCAGCTGGAGACTTCTTGCATTAAGACGACACAGCTCTCTCAATGAGGCTCCGCTTACGTTGCCAGCTACGTTCTTTCTCTTTGGAGTTTGCCTCAGGCTGCCTGTTTAAGGCTCCTTCCCTGTTCACTTTACAAACCCATAAAGCCCGTCGGCAGCCTCACCTATGCCGGTCCCTGTGCAAGACGCTGTGGGGAAGAGGGGAACAAGATTTTTTTTAACCTGCTGAGCCCCTTCTCCCAGAATAGCTCATGGGGAAAGTAATGTGAAGGCCAGTAGTCAATCTTACAGTGCCTTAGCTGTCCTGTAGCTCAGCCAACCCATCTTGTCTGAAAAAAACGTCCAAATAAAACAACCACGGGGCAGGCAAACAAAAAACCATGGGAGCCGTAAAGAGAAAAACTCATGCGGGCGTAAAAAACCTCACGCAGGCAAAACAAACATGGTGGCCAAAATATTGGGGCATCATTGCTACCAGCACAACACTCCCCTCCACTTAGTCTTATTCCATTGCACTGCCAATGAAGGCAACACTGTAAATCAGAGAGCTTCCCATGACGATAATTTACCATGTTTGAGTTATGTTTGAAGTGAACACGTATAATTTTTCATTCACATTGTAAGGAAATGAATGTGAACAAATTCTGTCCTCTCCTCCTCCACCAAACCACGACCCCTTTATTTTTTTCTTTGACCTCGCTTTTAAGCCATCTCTCCTCTCCGTCACTCCGTCATCCTCTTCAGCCCTATTCCCTAGGGCTGTGTCAAGCACTTTGAGGCATATTAGGACGCAACATAAATATAATTGGTTAGAAGTTATTTTCCAATTGACACCAAGGATCCCTGATGAACCTTTGATATTCTATTCGCTTTTGTTGAGAAGTCTATCGCCACCCCCCCAGCCCCATCCACCATGTTTAAGTGGTAGGTACTGATGACACGATCGGAGGGAGCGCCTGGGAACGGTATCTAGTAGGCACTGAACTCGACAGCATGTGAGGGAACTCAATTAACATTAGTAGATACCAAGCCATTAACCCAGGGTGCTTCAGTGAACTTGTCACTTCTGTGTGCATGAACATGGTTCTCTCATGCTCTGTAGCTCAGTCAATGATGTGGGCATCTTCCAGCTGGTATGTAAACAGGATAGAAGAGAACAACTGGTCTGGCAAATTGTTCCACTCTTTGTTTACGTTCAGGAAACCATACATTCCTGCTTTTTACTTGGAGTGCATCCCTGGAAATATTGGGAGATGTTGTCCTGTCAAGAGATGATGTTGCGTTGGGAGCTGGTGTTGTGTTGGGAGCTGGTGTTGTGTTGGGAGACGGTGCTGTGTTGGGAGACGGTGCTGTGTTTGGAGACGATGTTGTGTTGCCAGCTGATCACCTGTTGAGAGCTCCACGCCTCTTGGGAGCCCCATTTGCCCGCAATCCGACCATGTTAGTGGAGAGTAGGGACAGAGTGTGACGTAACAGCGGGAGACATATTTGAGTCTGTGCAGCAATTGATCCTCGAGAATCCTCTTTCATCCTTGTATAATAATAATCCTTGCATTTGATGTAGCGCCTTATCACGTCGTTCAGACATTTCAAAACGCTTCACAGAACATACTGTAAAGTGCAGTGACTGTGTAATTTGAGGGTGAAACTCGGCTGCGAATTGAGCACACAGTTTCCCACAAACAATCGTGTCCTTGTGTCTGCGGATCCCATGCCAAGTGCTTTGAAATAGTCCTTCCCACGTGAAAAAGCGCTAATCAACTGCAAATTATATTGTGTATCCTGCAAGATCACAGTGGTTACATGTTTAAAATATACCAGGGTTATCAATGGTGTTGAGCTATTTACACAGTTCACATCAGGAGAATATCTCAAAGCACTTCACAGGATTTTACGGTGTAGTGTAGTGATTGTGTATTTTGTAGGACAACGGGACAGCCAATTTGTGTGCAACAATGTGCCATAGTCATGATGTGAATGATCGATTTTTTTCTCTCTCTGGGGAGCATTGTTGACTAGGACACTGCGAAAAACTCCCATCTTGTTTTGAACCACAACCTTCTGACTCAGAGGCAAGAGAGCTACCGACTTAGTCAGGCGGGCAGTTTCTAAGATGCTTGAGCTTTTAATTCAACCAGTAGTGGAGCGAAGTGGCAGAAAAGCAACTCAGGACAGGAAAAGACCATTTCGCCAATCGAGGCTGCTCTTTCCAAAGAGCCACGTGTAATCTTCCTTTATTGTGGACCCTTTTCTCACGTCCGTGAATCTTTTTGCCTAAAAAACCCAAAGCTTAGACTGACTTGGCAGTGACTAACCGTGAGGAGCTTTGAGACATTTTGCCATGATGAAACTGGCCAAACACATCCCCCTTTTTTCGGTCAGCCAGGTGTCTGACACTTGAGGAAATCGTCACCGTGCTTAGAAGTATCCGAACCAAACTAAGAAATCCATGAATCCCACCCACACATGGAAATTCCAGAGATAGATTGTTGGAATGGAATATGCACTCTCTCCCTGGTGTCTAGCCAACTATAAAGCCGCATAGCTTGCCATTGATAGCCACTGAAGGTCCATTAGATTGTTAAGTTTATTATTATTACCCCTTAGGATCCATTAAGAGAGAAGCAGATATTTAGCTCATTTGCCTGGCTTGGATTCAAGCCTGGGTCAAACCCAGGTCAAAAGTCAGCTCCAGTTGCACAGTACAGATGTCCTAAACAGCTCTTGTGTAAATTAATCAATTGTTGAGCGATTATTCTATTTATATGCCCACCTGCTTAACAAAGGTTGTGGATTTGGGCCTCATGTTGGGGGCATTGAGCTCGTAAACTAGGCAGGCGATACAGTTCAGTGCTGGGCATCATCAGAGGTGCCATCCTTCAATTCATATGAACATATGTTCAACTCAAGTCCCGTCTATTCCTTTCAGTTGGCGTTAAAGATCCTGTGGCGCTATCTGAGTTTCTTCCAGTGTCCTGGTCGACAGCACCTCCCCCCAATCATATTGGCCGTTCACTTCTTGACAGTTTGGGGGACATTGTTTTGTACAAATCGTCTGCCGCGTTCACCTACAAAATACACAGTCACCACACTTTACAGCGAAGTGCTTCAAGACGTCCTCCAGATGTGATTAAATTGCAGTGAAAGAATAGTAGTGGATGTAATTGCAGTGAAAGAATTCAGTTGGCATCTGTTTACCTAGCGGTAAGTAGGAACCTAGTTGTTAGTCAATTGGCGGATCGCTTTCTGGGGGTAATAATCCCTCAAAAAAATATATAATAATATGGTCACTCAATCCACGATTTTTTTGTGGGACACTGCTGTATGCATTGTGGGTGGCTGCCCACAAAATACACAGTCAATCCACTTTACAGTATATCCTGTGAAGCGCTTTGAGACGTGATAAGGCGATGTATCAAATGCAAGGATTATTATTGTTATTATTAGCCACTTCATCGAACGCGAGGAGTATTATCATTCTGATCATTATCGCTAACAAGGGTGAGGAATGCAGATATAGTCTGTTGATCGGGTCTCGTATTTCAGGGTTCTTGACCCCAGACTAGCGTGGGTGACATGAAGAGAGAAGGGCCAGCTCATGCCTTGGTACAGAGAGAGGCACCTGCTCATAGAATGGCATATTCTCACGTTCAACCCGAGCAATTACAATCGCTCTCACAGTTCCAGACAGCAACTCACACCACAAAAAAAGCTTGTAACAAGGCGTGATTTGCTGCCGGGTGTAAATCAGACTCGCTACACTTTCAGCACCCGCGTTCCTGTTTCTCGCAAGGTATTGAAATTCAACCCGTATTAAAACAAAGTGTATCTAATTAATTGTCCAAATATTTCAGACGGATGTTTATAGCAGGAAATCCTAGTCCCTTTGATGCGTTCAGACGGAAAAAAAACTAGAGAGAGAGCAGAAAATAAGCAGAAACGAACTACAACCTACTGGGGTTTGCCAGTTAGCAGATAAAAGTGTTTGTTCCTTCAATAAGTGTCAGAGATTAATATTTTAAGGCTCCGGTTACAGCTGTAATCCATTTTAGTGATTAAATTGGCCATTGATGATCACATCACCTGCATTAACAAACCCTGCTCACTTAGGGAGGCGAGGAAAGCCTATGGGGAAAGATCTATGATATTATTAAACCCCATTATACAAAATGTAATTCCTGTCAATATAATCCCCAGCATTGTTCAATTTCAGTACAGAGAGATAACTAGCTACTTACAATATATTTGCCTTTGGAGGTTTAATTTACAAAGTGCACTATCTGGCAGTCACAGGCAGGCTTACATGAGTGAAACGTGTTGAGGTTATCAAGTTAAGTGACCTTACAGCAACCCTTTTTAATCGATTTCTGTAGCTGGTGGAGGGGGGTTGGGGGCGATGACAATAATAATAATCCTTGCATTTGATATAGCGCTTTATCACGTCGTTGAGACGTCTCAAGGCGCTTCGCAGGATATGGTGTAAAGTGGATTGACAGCGTATTTTTGTGTGAGTAAAGTGACAGCCAATTGCGCACACCAGCGTCCCGCAAACAGTTGTGGATTGAGTGACCAATTTTTTTTGGGAGGGATTTTTACCCCCGGAAAGTGATCTGCCAATCGACTAAACAATTGGGTTCCTACTTCTAGGTAAAGAGGAATGTGGAGTAAGGAAACTTGCCTAAGGTTTCACTGGCCCGAGAATCGAACCCGTGTCTTCTTGCGTGCGAGGCGAGCGCGCTAACCACTACGCTTACGTGACTCCGAATGGTGGGATTGTACTTACCTAGTATCTCTGTGGTAGTGTGGGGGTGGGCACAGGGTAGGGAACCCAAGACACTTTGCAGTTTACTGTCTCGCCTCTGAGTCAGAAAGTTTTGGGTTCGAGCCCCACGTCGGGAATTTTGAGCTCACACAGTCTGGCCTGACACTCCATGCAGTGCGGA